CAAACCCATCATGTCCAGGTGGGACTCCAGCAGCATCTGTGTTAGAGCTCAGCTTTGGCCTTGGGTAGGCCTTTTAAAGAGATTTGTACTAAAACCCCACCCAGAGCACAGCCTATAAACGAAAAGTGACCAGGTGAAGGAAAAATCTTTGCGGAAGTGGCCATGTACAGATCAATAGGGTTTGACCATGCTATCAAGGGGAGCCCAGATCCTCTAGTGATGCACTGCAGAAAACACTGCAAGTAAAAGCAATCCCTTAAACAGAAACCCTGCTGGCAATGGTGCCAGGTCTTAGTGATATTTGACCTTGGGCTTGATTCAGGTTTTGTCACAGGTCCCTTCCCTGGGCAACAGGCTAGGCCAAAGCAATGAGACCTGGGTATGAACTTAGCCATTTGAGCCCTACTCTGACATTGCCGTGCTAATTAATGCATAAGGTAAAAATAATATGTCAAACCAACAGCATCTTAAATGAGTATCCAAACCCTTCAGCAAGACCAGGTCCCTAAAAATCATGACATTTCCTTCCCCTTTCAGTGTCTCCTGCATAAATACCCCCTTTTAGTAGACAGAAACTACGATGTAATGCAATCAAATAAGCCTGACTTTTCTTTCTCTGCAGGGCACACAGTTGAGGCCAGGTACCCCTTTCTCCTCTGTACCCTCTTGCCCAATGGCCAGCCAGAAGTATTGAGCAGTGAGGGAGGAAGGAAAGAGATAAAAGAGATGTCTGCAAGTGAAACAGTGAGCACCACAGGAGTGACCACAAAGAAGCAGCCTGGGGTCCAATTCAGGTCTGCATCATGTCTTGTACAACTCTGTTCACCTCAGGGGAGCTGAGCAAACAGAAGTAAACCTCCTGTACACTATGTTCTCCAATAATCTACCCAAAGAAAACAACATTTCTTTAGACAAGAAAGCAAGGGAACAAGTAAATGAAGAAGAGGGGAGGAAAAAAGCAAATATCAGCTTTAACCCAACCTATGTGTTAACAAGATCTTTTAATAGGTTCTCTGTTCTCACAGAACTCAGCATGTCTGGAAACACAGTTTTTATAGCTGCCTTTCCATAACATCAGCTTGTTCTCATCTCTGTAACTAGCTCATTGCAGCTATGATAATAATTGATCAACTTGTAAACCTGATTATAAAGTCTGCTCCCTCATCTGCTTTGTTCCTTGGGCTGGTTCTCACTTTTGAAAGCAGCAGGGATTTAGAGTGGTGGCTGTCTGTGGCATCCATCCCCTCCCTAGCTTGCCATTAACAAGGGTAGCACAGTCTGGCTCCAGTGCAGTGGCTGAGGATGTCTGGTAACTGAGCCTCCAGCCATTAACCATACCTGGATCTGGTCCTGGCTGAAAAGAGAATATCAGTGCTGTGGACGGAGACAGAAAGGCTGGCAGAAGGGATAAAATGCCTCTGTCTTGTGTTCTAGCATCTCACAGTCCTCATGGGTCACACCTGTGGGATGCTGAACTGCACAGAAGTGGATGCCCTTCAAACAGCTCTCTGGTGCCTACAGCACCTGAAGGCCAAAGACAGACAACATATTAAGTAGGAGATACCTGAGATTTCTGTAGCATCCACAGGCTATCCCTTGAGAAACCCAGTCTGGATCACCCCCAGTAGGGCTGACATGCAGAAACAGGATTCCGCAAAGAATCTCACATGTGTGTCTCAGTCTGCCTCTCATCAGGAAGCTGGACCTGTTTTCTGTATGCACCAATGTTTCTCCCTTCAATATCCAGGTACGTCCTTCTGGGGAGAAAATAAATGGTTGCTGTGCTGCCTGGCTGTGATATGAGGAACTTACATGTTGTCAAAGCCATTTTTTATCTCATTGGAAATACTGACATGTGTTGGGAATTCCAGATTGTAAGTATTGGGAAATTACGTTTTCTCAGCAAAGAGAGCATCAGGACAAGAAAGGAATGCTTTGCCATTTCTCCGCAGCACTGTGCTTCAATCCTCAGTGGGGAAACCATGGAGTCAGGTAGCTCAGGAGCCAACCTCAGGGGTGAAAGGGAAATCACATCTAAAGGCCCCATGCCATCATGGAAGACAAAGAGAAGACATTTGTTCCATGACACAACGTAGTCTTAGGTGCCAAGGCACCTAAACAAAGCAATTGAGGAAGCCCATGCTATGTATGAGGCTCTGCACAGCTGGAGTTAGGAAGCACTATTACAGCCACATTGTCATACATGAACCCTAAATTAAGATGGAGGAATTCACCATGCACACAAGTACCTAAGACAAATGAGCTACATGCCTGATGTCAACTGGCCTTGCAAGTAACAGGTACTTTAATTCAATTATCAGCTCCTGAAAACCCAAATCAAAGTCTCTGTGGATGAAAAACAGGGCAATTGACTGACATAAAAATCCTTAACTTTCTAAGCCAAGATGTCCCTCTAGAGCTGAAACAAATATAGACATCATTGCCATGATAACGAGACTAATCTTTCTTTTCATGGACATGAGGTACCCAACTAAACAAGATATTAGTAGCAGTAATTACATGACTTAAATAAACTAACTGTATGTATTAAGTGTATTTCAGCTAAATGCACTGATTTTCAGTCATACCACTGGTGATAATAGTAACAGTTAACAAATCAGAAGCATTGTTTCATGTCCTAAGTAGCTTTAGAAGCACTAAGGAATAAAGGTTTTGTTAATAAAGAGTGGTGAATAAACACAAATCACAGAAGGATTTTAAGAAGTTTGAATAAGCCACACAAATCAATGGAAGATAAACAGGAACCCAGAGAAATCTGCTTTCTATCAAAAATCCCTAAAAACAATAATGTAACATGGTTTGGGTGAAATGAGATCAAAGTATCCCTTTCCAGAACTGAACAGACATGCCCACAAAACAGAACCCACCATAACAGAGGTCCTTTTCTTGGGAAATTCAGGATAGGTATAGATGGTGATTCTGGCAAAGGTACCAAGAAGCAGATCCTAAAGATAAGGATAAAACCAGGATGAGAGAAAACTGCAGGAAGATGGTCAAGACACAAACATCCAGGTATATTAGGCTATTGTCTTTCTCCATTTTTCTACTTTTATGGAGGTACTTAAATTGCAATGAATAAATAAACCCCTGCTGCTTCAGAAGGGGAAATCTGTGATCAAAGAGATCTTTTCAGGTGTCATTAAGGCACTAAATTTATGCTTGTACTGAAGCACATAAGCAGCTATTTAACCAGCTCTGGGCCTTTTATTTGTTAGTTGTTGGCAATATTAGAGCCTAAGCCCCTGCCCAGGCTTTGCTCACGAGCAGCACTACTTTTGATGCCAATCATCAGCGCACGAGCGCTGTTTCTGACAGCACAAACACCAACTTCACTCAAAAAGCGCTGAGCGCCCTCAGCTGTCTGAAAAGCAGTTTGTTTTCCGCCAAAATGTCAAGTCTGTGTTCATACTGCCTTGAATAGCCTCGGGAAAAAAATCTTTTCTTTTTCTTGCAAACCAGATTCTTCCCAGTATCCACCACTCTCCCAGTGCAATGGCAGGCTCTGGATTTCTGGCCTGTTTTGCAGAGGATGACTGCTGTTTTGCCCCTGTTGTGCCCGGGAGGCAGAGCAGAAGCACTGAGCAGCCAGGGCTGGCACCCCTCTGGGATCCAGGAATCACTGAGAGCTGGGTACCTCTCTGTGGTCTGCAGAGCAGATGTCCATTGAAGGCCTCTCACAGAAGTCTCTGTGATGGTAGCATCCTTTCTTGATCCCGTGAGCTCTCTCTGCCTTGGGATTTGAGGTTCTCAAACACACTGTAGTTTCATGCAGAGTTTATGTGGCCACGGGCAGGGACACCTTCCACTACACCAGGTTGCTCCAAGCCCCATTCAACCTGGCTTTCAACACTGCCAGGGATGGGGTAGCTGCACTTCTGTAGACAAACTGTTCCAGGGCCTCCCCACCCTCATAGTGAATAATTTCTTCCTTATATCCAACCTGAACCTACCCTCTTTCACTTTGAAACTCTTGCCCCTTGTCCTATCACTACAGGTCCTGGTAAAAAGCACCTCTCCATCCTTCTTACAACCCCCGCTTTAGGCACTGGGAGCTGCTCTAAGGTCCCCCCGGAACTTTCTCTTCTCCAAGCTGAATAAACCCAGCTCTCTCAGCCTTCCAGCCCTCTGATATCATGACCCTCCTCTAGACCAGTCCAACCAGTCCAGAAGCCATTCATAGTCTTCCAGTTGTGCAAGCATGTGGTGAGCCAGCACAACGGAAACTGATTTAGGTAAAAACAGGTAAAACTTCTCTTCTGCTCTGGTTCGCTCTGATCTGCATGTCCCCACCTGCATTCCTTTCAACGGCAGCATTATCTTACACAAGCTTAAATACCAGATAAACTGCCCTTAAAGCTTCCTTGCAGGAAGTCTATTCCCAAGTATGCCGGGGTATTCCTGCACTCCTCACAGAGATAAGCCAAGGCTGAAACACATGATAAGTGATCAGACAAATACTTCAGTTTGAGATGTGCATGCAAGCCTCATTTCCACTCAGTAGCAGCCCCAGGATCTCAAAAGCAGGATGAGGATGTGATCCCATGCCCTCTGGAGTCCAGTTGACTGCTCATGGCTTCTAGAGCCAGAAGATGCCCCAGACTACACCATGAGGGTGTTTCATTGGGAAACTCTGTACTGTCACAACCTCCATAATGTTGCTGTTATTGTTCTCTTTGTGGCTTGTAACACCTGGCATGGTCTTTGCTGCATCCTATCAAAAACGCTAGTGCAGCTCAATTCATGATGAATCCAGTACTTCCCTCCTCCAGATTGTGTAAAAAGGGAACTAGTGCTGAGTGCACTTATACAACCCACCAGAAGTGATATTTCCTATACTTAGTAGGAAAGCAGCTTGTGGAGTCAAAGAGCCCTTCAACCAAAAATCATAGCAAGATATTTGAGGTAAAAAACAAAATAAGAGGCATGTCAAACTAAAAATATTAGAAGGGGATTTTCAAAAGAATTTAAGTAGCAAAATACATGAGGAATCCATTTGCCTCCAGGCTTTATTCAGAGTTATGCCTTTTAAAATAGTGTTACGCTTCTACCCATGTGTTTTTGTTTTGACCATCTCTTTGCAGCCAGGAAGCAATGTTTCCTTTATGTTATAATGCACGATGGGAGCCTGGCTCATCTCTCCCCATGGCCCATATGGTGGCACAGAGCTGCAGAATATGTTCCCTTCTAATGACGAACAAGGGTGCATTTGAGGATAAAGAAAACTGTATTATCTGCAAGAGATTTTTGCCATGGTGATTTCAGAATAGAGGCTTCCTCAGCCCTGTTCTGGCTTAATTTCCTCTTGCAACTTTATAGAAGCACTGCAGATCTCCCCTACAAGGAAACATTGAGGAGTGCCTTCTTCCAAGGGGAGTGTGCTGAGCTGGACAGACCACCGCTCTCCCTCAACAAGGTGGACTGTCATTGCTCTTTGGCTACCCAAGACTTCTCCATCTTCCCTGGAATCCTCATGTTTCATTCTCCTCTCTCCATGGTTCTCCAATTCCTTCTCAATAATTCCCTAAAATAGTCCCACTTTTACTTTTGACCATCCTTGGGCAAAAGTAAACCTCCTTTCCCTCAACTCCTAGCCCTGGGTCACATTTGCTGGTTGATCTGCCTGTGTTTTCCTGGCATGGCTGTACTTGGCAGCAGTGCCACATTCCAAGGGATTCAGACATTTTCTCAGTCTGCTGCCTTCTTGGTCCAAATTTCACACTCAGAAAGAGCAAAAGAAAAGGGCAAAGATGCCAGTGTTTTTAAACAGCTTGAGGTATTCTGGAACTCCCGACCTGTTTGACCAGCGAAGATCTGGAAAGAGAATTGGTGCCATCTGTTGGAAAGAGAAAACAAGGACAGTCGTCAGTTTTGGCTTCTAGCTTTTCTGCGCACTTATCCATTTTATTTTTTCCTCCCCTTTGTCATCAAAGGTATAAATACAGAAAAAGCAGCACCTGCTGGCATGGCAACTCTTGACTGTAACATACTGCTTCCTGAGTGGACACCAATATTCTTTGAGTGGGCAAGAAAGGAGAAGACAGCCCAAACAAAAATCCTACAGTACCAGCAGTAGCAGCTATTCTGCAGTCATAAGTCGGTTCATCTCTTCTGAACTGCCAGAGACAGAATCACTAAACCACCAGACTTTCGGTTAATATTTTTCTCTTCTTCCCAGAGAAAAGTCTAAAGCATCTCACTGACAGGCACAAAAGCGCTTTGTCATAGAATCACAGAATCACAGAATGGTTTGAGTTGGAAGGGACCTTAAAGATCATCCAGTTCCAATCCCCTGCCACAGGCAGGGACACCTTCCGCTAGAGCAGGTTGCTCCAAGCCCTGTCCAACCTGGACTTGAACACTGCCAGGGATGGGGCAGCCACAGCTTCTCTGGGCACCCTGTGCCAGTGCTTCAGCACCCTCACAGGGAAGAACTTCTGCCTAATATCTAATCTAAATCGTCAGGGCTTCCAACACAGGGCCATGTACCTAGAGGAAATAGCATAGAGTACTTTTCACGGCTGCTGCTCTTGCTAGACTGACAGTAAGTGGAGACATTTTTGCCAGTTTGACTCCAATCACTATGTTTATTAGAAAATAAAACATTATAGATGACTGGTGATGGAATGAATTTGTTTCAAGAAAGAAATCAGAGCTCCTGGTGAGGAATTCTAGCAACTCAGCACAATCAAACTGCAACTCTTTTTTGGAAGGTAAAATTTGAAAAGGAAAACCATTACATTACAATCTCTCTACATAGAAGCAAGCTCCAAATTAGATCATCTAAAAGCTGCACTAGAGCTTCTTCATGTCATTGCGCAGGCAGTTACATAATTGCAGATGTAAAATAAGTTATCTATTCAGCTGTACATTGGAGGGATAATGACACACCATATTAAACTGTGCAGTATAGGCCAAAACCAATTAGATACATTCTTTGGCACAACCTTTGCTTCACATATTATGCCCACAACAAGGTTATCAGATTGAAAACATGATCTTGGGCCACATTTTCTGCTATTATATTTCTGTAATCTCTTGGCTTCCTGGACTTCACATCTGAAAATTCTCCCTTTTGAGCTAACAGTATCAATAGCAGTAGGTTCCATACTAGACTGATAATCAAAAATCCGTGACGATCCTAGATTTAACATATCACACCATCTGTAAATGGCAGATAAACATTCAGATCATACATCTACTTTCCTGCTCTTTGTAGTTGTTTTACTGTAGATGATAATCTAAGACCTGACACTGCTTAATGTAAATTTTACCAACTAGCTCTGAGCGCTTTCCAGGCCATGGTAGCATTTAACTGTTGGAAGAAATTAATACATTTCATTATCTTCTCTCTAGGTTATGGTGACATTCATCACACAGTACTGCTGACTGCAGAAGTTGGATGCACTTCATAACACCCCCTCTCCCCCACTTAAGCCTGCAAAGAACATATCTTCATGGTGTTTTCAAATTACATATCAACTGGAAATTAAGCTTCATCAGCAAATTTGAAACTGCAGCAAACACTATCCAGTTGGCAAGAAGCCTGGGTATTAATCAAGGGTAGTAGACCTTCCTCAGACCTGTAGATACCTCTGTGGGCAGAACAGTCTGTTTAGGAACCTGAGCTGCTCAGAAGAAGCAATCCAGACTGGTGTGGTGTGCATTCATAGGGTCCTGAGAGAGAAGTCAGTCTTTGGACTATATCTGTATGGTATCTACAGGATCCTGGCCAAAATCAGGAGTTTCCAGCAGCTACCACAGCAACAGGCAGAAACAAGAAAGCAACGCTGAGACTAGAAAGACAGGACAAACAGGGCCAACATAAGAGAATCAAAGGCAGCATGAGTTCCACATAATATAAAACAGATAGACAGATGGATAAAACGTAAGACATGTGTGTATATACATAGAGATATACACAGAGAGAGGTCCTTCATATCAAAGCTTTCTGAAGTTCAAGCCTTTGTCCCAGCTTTGTTTGATTCTCAGGGTTCAGCTGCTGGACAACTGTAAAAACAGGATCCAAGCTGTTAGCCCACAGTGATGTGAAGATAATTCAGTGCAACCCGTCATCATTTCAGACTAAGCTAAGCTGCATTATCTCATATTCACTAGGGAGTAAGGGTGTACACAAAGGACTGTTTTCATGGCTCAGCTGCTGCAAGGGAATTTCTTAAGTAATTTCACTGAATCTGAGCCCTCAGACCTCAGTCTATTTTTGCAAACAAATGTTAGGGAGCAGCATGGGGAAAGCTAGAAACATTTATACCACTTACCTCCAAATATTTACCATCTGTGCAGTACAGCATAGATAGATGAGCTACTCATAGCTCAGCAGCTCAAACCACTCACCAGGAGAGTTAGAACAGAAGTCTCTTTCCTTCACTAAGCCAACACACTCCACCCCTACTTGGACAAACCAAATTCATCTCATGAGAGAAAAAGAAGGATGTGAATAAATTAGGTGGGTCCAAACAATTGTCTTCTCTGTTGTATTCCCAGAGGGCTCATGTGTAACAAGAGTTTAGTGAACACACTTTAATGTTCCTTAGACAGGAGCAATTTTTCCTTCTACATAAAATAACTGACTCGTCCCTTTTAGTTTTTGGTTATTTCTCTACTTCCCTGAGCTACAAGGATTTTTCTTTGGCTTTTAAAAAGCAAACTGTTTCATTCCAATTAGAATCAGATACACCGCTTTTGATTCCCTCCACTTTACAACTGCAACTAAGGACTGTTTTTGCATTTGGATCTCTTTAAAGAACTGTGAGATACACAGAGCTTATTGGCAGTGCGGTACACATGAAAATGCTGAACTGCTCCCCCAGAACTTGGATATTTACTGTCTAAATAAGATCTGTTCTCAAAAATTCATTCTGGGTACTTAAAGCAGATCTGGAATTACAGTGGGAGCAAACAGCTACCAGAAGTGTAATAAAATAGCAAATATTTCTTTAACTTCCTCTGACAAGTAAAACTCAGTTGATCTTTGTTGCTTTTGCCTGCGCAGCACATGCAGTAAGGTCCTGCAGTTTGCAAGAAGTGAGCTCAGAGCTCAAATAAAAAGCCATGATGAGCTGCTAGTATTTCTGTTCCTCACTCTCAGAGAAGCTCTTTTTATTGCCCTTCTAACTCCCATATACTCCTAACACACTGGCCATAGATGCAGTGACGGGACACGACAGTAATTCAGAGATCACACTCCCTCAAGAAAAGTTCTCAGCATACCTACAAGGAGCCAGATTCCATTTGCTGGCAGTGTAAGCAGAAAGCACGTGGATTATGGGCTCAGCATGCATAAATATGCTATCAGACCTGTTGCCTACCAAACAGGTGGTTTCATTTCTAGGGGGATTTGTAACCTGCGCCTTCAGTTTGAATGCTGAAGTTCGTGAGTTGTGATAGGATTGCTCCCTGCTAGCATCCACTGTGCACCTCTCTTCTCTCCCTTGTGGCTGCAGGGCTTGAAGGGCAGCTGGGAACACCAGTCCTCAGAAAGGTACTATTTCATCAAACAGCAGTTTCATATCATAGCAGCATCTTCAAATCAAGTGTTTACCTTCAAGCTGTGCAGTTGTTTAATGAAAGATTGGTATTTTCTACATGGGAAGCTGACATTTTGGCTAATTGGCATTTTTTTTCCACTGAAAAGGAACAAAAATATCATAGTTGGCCCTATTACTTAAGAACAGGTACAATGAGGTACTTCCAGCCCAGCATCCTGCTGAACACAGTCACCAGCCACTGGGATTGTTCAGCATGAGCTGCCCCAACTAACCCCATCCCTGGGAACCAAACATTTAAAGACTTCCTGGGCCAGACACCACATCCAGCTCTGTTGTTTGCTAAGCATTAATGGGCTACATCCTCGTAGTGTGACAAATGCCATCCTAATGGATTTAATCCTGTGGCAATAATCACTAAAACATCATTATTGTTCAGCCTGGAGAAGGCTCTGGGGAGACCTTAGAGCAGCTTCCAGTGCCTAAAAAGGCTGACAAGAAATCTGGCAAGGGGCTTCTTTTAAGGTCATGTACCTGACAGAGGGGAGATTTAGATTAGATATTAGGAAGAGATTCTTTACCATGAGGGTCCTGAGGTGCTGGCACAGGGTGCCCAAAGAAGCTGTGCCTGCCCCATCCCTGGCAGTGTTCAAGGCCAGGTCGGACACAGGGGCTTGGAGCAACCTGCTCTAGTGGAAGGTGTCCCTGCCCATGGCAGGGGGTTGGAACTGGGTGAGCTTTAAGGTCCCTTCCAAACCAAACCATCTCATGCCTCTATGACTATGCCTTAGAGCCCTTGAAAGGGTTACCTTTCATTTGCCTCAAACCCTCCACCTGATCCCATCTAGGCCTTGTGCAATAAGAAGCCTTTCCCCGTCATCCCTCTTGACACAGCTTTCCTCTACCATACCCTCTAATCTTCTCCTGTGGAAGCACACGGTTTTACCCCTGACACTAGCATGCTTCCCACAGTACCAAGGACTACACAAGCACCAGAGACCTTGCCCCTCCTTGGAGGGTTCTGCCTCCTCTCCCGCTCCCCTGGGCGGGAACTGGGGTGGGTGTGAGGGAACGGAGAGCAAACAGCGAAACCTGAGGGAGCCCGCAGCCTGCCCGGGGTGGGCGGGAAGCGCGGAGCTGGGGAAGTCACCGCGGAGGAGGAGGAGGCGGGGACGGGCAGTCAGCTGAGCCGGGCCGCCGGCGCCATGGGCGTGCAGTGACGTGAGAGGGGTGAGAGGGGAGACGCTCGGTGGGCGGCGGGGGGCAGCCCCTCAGGCGGGCCCGGTGCGGGGGGGAATGGCGGGCGGCTTCTGGTTCCCGTTACAGTCGCTATGGGCGGGCTCGCCCCATGACTCGGCGGATCTGGGGTGGGCCTGCGGATGGGCGAGCGCGGAGACGCGGGTTTGCGGCTCCCGGGGTTACACGGGGGAAGAGGAGGGGTTGCGAATGTGCAGGGACGAGCGCCTCAGCCTCCGCCGGTACCGCGGCGGGGAAGGGAAAAGGGAAAAGGGGCCAAGAAAGCGAAAATGAAAGTTAAAAACGAGCGGAAATGGTATTTTTTTTTTTTTGCGTCGGGAGGGGGGGCGGCGGCACAGGCCCTGTGAAGGCCGGGCGGGTGTCGGAGCCCGGTCTCCTCAGGGATGGTAGTGCCGGCTCTCGACATACTGCCAGGCCGCGTCCAGGGCGGCTGAGGGGAGAGGGGCAGTGGGTGAGAGGGAGCTTCTCCCTGCCTCAGTCCCAGGGAAAAGGGCTCCCGAGGATCACTGGAGATCCCACGGGGATCAGTTGCTTTAGTCATGCAGCCCTTAATGGGTTATGGAGGCTCATAGATACTCTGGTGTAGTGGGGTCAGAGGCATTGGAGGGTGACTGTGTATTATGACAAGATGAATGGCTTGCTTAATAAAATGAAGGAATCATAGAATGGCTTGAATTGGAAGGGACTTTAAAGCTCACCTAGTTCCAACCCTCCTGCCACAGGTGGGGACACTGTCCAGTGGGCAAGAAATTAAGAGTTTTCTCTGCAAACCTTGTAGTAGATGCTTCAGAGATGTCCAGCAAGTTGAAGAGCCGTCCTGCTGAAAATGTAGAGCATCCCAAGAGAAAAATGGAGAATGGAACAGACAGTGTGGCTACCCCTGCCCTTAGTACCTACACCCCAGAGGAGATGGTACAACAGATGAAGGAACTAATCACTGAGAACAATGAGTTAAAAGGTGAAGGTTCACGTGAACTTGTCTTGAAATGCAAAAGCCCTGAGTTTCTTCTGTGGGTGTTATTTTGTCCTATGAGTATGAATTCTGTGCTTGTTTGCCCTTGCTGGATAACATTTTATACCTGGGTAGCATTTGCTGTATAAACAACTCTGTAAATGGCAAGGCTAAGTGATAGGACTCATCAAATTGAATTGGTATGGAAGATTAGGAGGAGAACAGCCCAATATATGGGTGACTGACTTGCTTTAGAATTATATATATGAGCGGTATAGCACTGTCTATTTTAGGAGGCGAGGAGAAAAATCTCCTGCTACGATATGCTCTTTGCTCATCAACCTCTAAAAGCTTTTTTGGTTTGCATTTTAGGACTGTTGGGCAGCTCCATTGCAGACAGATTAACATTTTGCCATAGCTGTGTCAGGAGGGCTGGGTACTGTGCAATGCTCAGAACAGTCTGGGTTAGGATGCTGCATCCTCTTGGGCAGAGAGGGCAATTGGAGCTGGCACTGAACTGTGTGTAATAACAACTGTGAATGTTTAGATGTGGCAGTACCTTCTATACTTCAAAAGGAAGTGGTGTCCATGGCAGGCTCTATCTAGGAGAAAATTATAGGTTTCCCTGAAAATGCCTGATGGTTTGAGTCTTGCAGGTGAGATAGATTTGTTTCTGGATCCCAGGAATTTAGATGT